GCTTTCCCCCAAAGTCGGGCGACTTTGAGCGCCGCAGATTAATCCGGACCAATTTTCCAAACGCCGACCGGTTTCTGTGAAAGCCGGCCGGTTTTCGTTTGCGAGAAAAAATTGTTGATTGTTATATACGAAAGCCGGGCGGTTCTCGGTGGAAGCCGGCCGGCATTCATTGCCGTAGTATTTTCCCCCAATGATCAAGACGAAAGCCGGGCGGCTTTCGTCGAAGCCGGGCGGCATTCGCCCAGGGCGAGGATTCTCCTCCCCTTTTCCTCCTCAAACCCGACCAAACTCGTCGGGGTTAGCATTTTACAAGTTCCATGCTCCTATTGTTTATGAAAATTAATACGTGAGTTTAAGGAATTACCCGCAACGGAGTCTAGGTTGGCACGAGCATCTGCCTCTGTCATAGCATAGACCCGAGCTTGGGTCCTTCCTTGGTTTACGGATGGCGCGTTGCTTGCACTCGCCCCACCGTGCTCACCGCTAGCATTTGGTGCTTCGGTTCGGTTCCTGCTCACCGTCGTTGCACTACTCGGTCCAGCCCCCATGGCTCGCCCAAGTTGTGGGCAACTCACCTTCAAATGCCCGACCTCCCCGCATTGATAGCACCTCGGGGGATCGCGGCACTTGCCAAAGGGGTTCTTCTTGCAGTTGCTGCACTTCTTCGCGCCTGAGCCTTGTGACACAGAGCTTTGCCCGCTCGGGCCTTGATTTCCCCTTACCGGTGGTGCAGGGGTTTTGAAGGATCCGCCTCCCCCGTGGTTCCCCTTCTTGTTGGAACCTTGAGGGCCATGGCTCTCCCATTTTCTTTTCCTTGCCTCCTCGGCATTCCTTCGTTTTCTTTCCTCCCACTCCTTCTCTCCTTTTAGGCCTTGTTCAACCACTTGACTGAACGTCATATTAGGCAATTGTGTTGCCCTCTCGCGTATGTCAAGGTCCAAGGCATCCCAGAAATGGTTCACCATCCGGTTTTCATCACAAATGTACTCCGGTATGAACTCACCAAGCTTTCTGAACTTGTGCTCAAGTTCCTTCACCGTACATTCACCTCCTTGGGTCAAATTCGTGTACTCCCTCCTCTTCAAGTTCACCTCGAAGTCGGAGTAGTATTAGCTGAAGAACTCCTGTCTGAAATTCTCCCAAGTGACGGCCTCGCCGTACTTCCCTTTTGTTCCATCCCACCACGTGGATGTCATGCCTTCTAGTAGCCTCGTGGCTACTCTCAGCTTCATGTGGGGTGGTAGTTGCATGTCGAGGGCCGCCTCGTTGAATCTTTTGATCCACTCGGCCGCCACGGAGATGTCCCCCGTTCCATCAAACGGTTTACATCCCAAGTCTCTTGCCTCCTTGAGGTACTTTGAGATCCTTATTATAGGGACCTCAGCACCTCCCCCTCCTCGAGATTCTATGATCTCCCGGGGAGTCACACGGCTTCCTCTTCTTGAAGCCCCTCCCAAAGCACGCCTTGCCCGGCGCCTTTGGCGATCTTGGTGGTATTGCCGGAGCAATTCCTCAATCCGCTCGAGAGCTTCATTATCGTCTCTCTCGTCACTTGCATCATCGTATTCCCCATCATATGGGGTTTCAACCGGCTCAGTTCCCGGTCGATAAGTTGAATCCTCCTCGGACTCATAGTGCTCGTCTATAGTTTCCACATGACCGTCACTCACGGTCAGCGAGTGGCCTGCACGGCCTGGTCTCCTAGACACCCTCGATCCTCCCCGACTGCCACGTTGGGATCCTCCCGGTGCTTGGCCAGTCGGGTTCCGTCGAGTAACCTTCCCGGTACGTTCCATTTCTGAAAGAATTTAGAATGAGTCATTAGACTCATATCAAATGTCAATTGACGGATAGGCACTTAAAGACATCTTTTGACTCAAATCACCGCCATACCAATTGTTAAGGGTACCATCTTAACAATTAGAGACATTGCAACTCAAGTACCAAAAGTTCTATAAGTACAAAACTTTATGCTCATGGTTTTCAATTTCATTTTCAAAAAGCATTTTGAAGCTTCATTATGATGTTTACGGACTAAGTCTCTGATACCAATTAAATTGTCACGCCCCGGACCTAGCCGGACACGTCAACAACCCGCCGTACAGTACGAATAGTCAACCGTAGTCCAACTCATCCATACTATACAAGGCGTCATGAATATCATTCACACATAGTACATCCATAAACAAACATAATGTAAAACATGCATTTAAAGTAGCGGAAGCGTTCATACAATTGTTCAAGCCACACTTGGCATAACTAGGCATACAAGCCCCCAAAGTAATTATTAATAAAATAGTATCCATGAGCATTGTTATAATTGTTTTGAAAACAGGAAACAGAAGAAGCACGAACCACGTCTTCTCCCTTGAAAATCCCCGAAGCAACGGGCGCCGGTAGCAACCTTCAAGTTCTACCTGAAACTGTGAGGTGGCCTCCCCCGTGAAGGGGAGGTCAGTACTTGGAAATATTTGACAAGTACAATAGCAACTATACTAAGTATAATCAACGTTTTAATTTCCAAGACCCTCAAAATAGGGTGATATCATAATATAAATAACAATTTATATTTCCCACTTATTATCTCTATAACAAGTGAATTTATTTATCTGTCGGCACACGGCCCTTCTTATATATATATCCCTTTTTATTTATCATTTGCACAACCCAACCCTTGGGTCCTATTATTTCTACGGGACTTGCTACCGCTGTCCGAGACCTCGTGAGGCTCCCGGTTCGGACTCCAACATCCCGCCCCTGGACTCGTACCCATCATCCCGTAGGAAGGTAAGGCCCTTCGGGGTCCTATCTTATGTGTTACCGCTACCGGAACCTAGTTAGGTCTCCGATTCGGATTCCACCCTAACCCGTGATCACGATGTAAGTCCATGCTATCCAACCCCGCTCTCTAGAGTCGGGAAGGGCCATGGTCCTTACTATTTCTATAATTCAACCGGCTATCCACAAGGACTACCGAACACACCCGTAGGCCAATCCTATACTTAGGATCAATTTATTATTTACTTTATCTTGGGTATCCCTTAAGGCCTACCCCTAGTATAACTTAGAGTTCATACTTTCCTACCTTAAAGCATCTCTTAAGACTACTTAAGGCATAACATTTCACAATCCAACCTTAGGATCAATCTTAACAACATTTAATCTTAATGTCCAACTAGTATCTTAATACTAGTCAAATTAATATCAACAACCAAGTTTTCAACTCATAGTCATATAGACAATTCCAACTGATTTTCCTTTGAAAATATCATTTATCTCAATATCCAAAATATCACTTTTAATCACTCATATATTCTAATATGAAGAAAAAGTATATTTCACCACATGTTTCATAATAATTTCCACTTTCAAGTCAACATACTCATAACACATGAACATACACAATTTACTTCTAAATTTGTATATCATGCTCCTTTTTCTCTAGACATTTAGTCTTGTCATTTTTAGGCATTATTAATCATTAATAATCCATAAAAACACATTTAATTACCTTCGGTAATCTCATGAAATTAACTCACTAATTATAAGCAATATAGTCAGCCATCCTCACCTTATGAAGTGCTGAAATAGTTGCCTTTGCTAAGCCCCTCGATCAATCTCCGTTCTAGACCGATTGGAGATGTAAAACTGAGCTGCTGGGCAAAAGCCGGGCGGCTTTCACGAAAGCCGGGCGGCTTTCACGAAAGCCGGGCGGCTTTCGTGTTCTGCAGAAACGAGCAGCTCCTTTAAAGTGGCGGTTTCCGGCGATTTCGACTCCTATCGATTCACCAACTCTTCTAAGTTAAATATCACCACTTTATATCAATATTCTACACTTTTAAACGTGTAGAACATCATGTTTAATCCCCCATATGATTACTTAAAAATCATACACCATAAAACTAGTTACAAGAAGATAGTTGAGTTCTTACCTTCTTCCTAGCTAGTTTTCTACTGGAGTTTGCTTGCCCCTTACTTCCTCCAAGCTTGAACTTGATGAGGAGTTGCTGGATCTTCTCCTTTCCTTTGAGTTGGCCGGATGGTTGCAAGTGAGGAGGGAGATAGGCTCCTCTCAATCAACACAATTGATTGAGTAGAAAGGGTGTAGGGATGGGTTTTTGTCTCAAATGAGACTCCTCACCTACTCTGCACGTTCCAACATGCTTCTTGGTCCTTTGTGATACATAAAATCGTGGGGTGGCCCCCACTCATGTGGGAGGTCATCCCATTAAGTCCCGGTATGTATAATCGGCCCCGAAAGTTGTATTTCTCGGACTGTTTTAATCATATTTTATTTTATCGGTTCAAATAAAATATATCACGTGTTGCTAATAATTATGGGCCTTTATAATAGATGTATATTCCCCAACATTAATTTTAGGAGTCTCCGAAACTCATTTCGGGCTGTTATCCGCTAAACTACCAATACCGGTAATTTGGGCCCCGTTTGACCAACCGGTCAACCCCATGCCTTTCTTATGGCCCAAATAAAATATCCACCACCATATACATATTATCTAGACCAAGATGAATATAATATGTGGTTCGGGAATTATCGGGCGGTCCCCGTCCCGCTGTGGGCCCCACATGCAATTTACTATTCATGTAAAAGAAATAGTAAAAATTCACAATTACGCAAATTCATAAATCATCTTTCAAGGTTTATTACATCATTTACTAAAAGTAAATATGCTCGGGGTCGGTGTTACAGTGTGTGTTCTTTATTTCAAATGAGATGCGCATTTAGGTAGAAGCATTTGTTCAAAAGTTGGTGAATGCATGTGTGCAAAATTGGGAGCATGATTTATCTGATGCACGCATTTTGCTAAAAGCATTTGTGCAAAATGTCAGTATGACTGTGAAATAGTTATATATGGGAGTATGACTAATCAAGCTTGTTATCTTGTGATTTGTGTTATATGTGATGTGGTCATGCATGCATGTCACCAGAAATAATATCTTTATGTAGTTTTTCCCCGATTATGAAACCTCGGCATTGTTATGTTATATGTTTCAATCTGATGTATCAGCAATGGGAGATTCTAGATGTGTCAACGTCGACACTGAAGGTTGCTGAAAAGTGCGGTGAAATGACTAGCATTGTGGTAAGAGGAATTGATTATATAAGTAATAAGTAAATATTATAAAAGGTGGGTGCATTAATAGATACTAAAAAATCATTTCTATTGTTTGAATTAAACAGAGAGATATGTTTGTGCATTACATGATTGTGATTGGAGTGGGTAACAAGGTGAAGGGGCTGGAGAAAGCAAAAGTGAAGATAGTTGTGATGAACTGGCGCCATGAAAACTATGAGTTTGAATACGGTGTGCTAACAATGAGAGTCATGGAGACATATATGGGTCAAGGAAGTAAAGGTTGGGACATTGGAATAAAAAAGGGAGAGAAGAAGCACATTGATACATTAAGGGTGAGGTATTCTGCCACAATACTTTCAGCGGACTACAACGAGACGAAGAACAAAAATGTGCAAGAGATTAAGAAGGATGCAAAAGTGAAGAAGCAAGACAAAGGAAAAATAAAGAAGTGAACTGAGCTGTTTGTCAAACATTACTACATTTGGTTGCGGAATTTCTTGTTTTTGTATAATTGGGTTTTGGTTGTGATGTTTGATTTGAAGGTTAAAACGTTTTTAGACAAAGTCTTTTTTGCATGGTTTTGATGACTGATATATTGGTTATTGAATTTTTGTGTGTTAATTTAGTTCAGGTGTTAACTTAGTTCTGGTGTGAAAAAGAATGAGCTATGGTTGTCTAATTGTGTTAATTTAATAGAGTGCGTGTGGAAAAAAATTAGATATGATTTGCATTGTGTGTGCATGACTAAAATTGAGTTAATATACTTGACTTTGTGTGGAAAAGGATGATATGTGGTGTGCATGACTATCTTATGATGACTTTGATTGAGTGCGTGTGGAAAAAATGAGATTTGGTGTAGAAAAGAACTGAGCTCTTGTTGTGTTAATATTTAAGTCGTGCAATTTAGAATATTGGAGTGTGCAATTTAGAATGTTCCAGTGTGCAACTTCATTGATTTAGCGAAAAACATCAGCGTTGATCATGTGAGGTGCAAAGTGAAATGAAACGTATAAAATGGGAAATAAAAGTTAATATTAGATTGCAATCTAGACTGTGGACAATTCGTACATGTAATTTTTTTGACCAACAATTGATGAATGTTAAGTACCCGTTGCGCGTATTTCAACTAAGACATTGCGCGTATTTCAACTAAGACAATTCGTACCCGTTGCGTGTATTTTGACCAACTAGTACACGATTAGGTTTTGGATTAAACAAATATTATGATGAGTTGAAATTGTTCGAGACAAAATTTTGCATTATTAGAACTTATATGTGCAAAAACAAGTATACAAATTGTATGACTAATTACATATGTGTCAGTGATGCTTGTTCTTCAATATTAAAGTCTGCAACAAATTACCATGTCATTTGCTCACAATGATAATTATGTGACCAAACATAAGGATTGATTACAGGTAAAACAATTTGCAATAAAAAGGTGAATTGTATTAATATCGTGATGTTTTGAAAATCAAACTGTGCCCAAAAAGGGGCAAATTTAATGACTAAAAACGCCCATAGCATTGTAATCATTTGATATAATGACTAACAATAACAAAGAAAACTAAACAAAAACAATCAAAACAAGTCATGAATGAGCATCGAGTTCTAAACATAAATCTTAAAGCAACCATTGGTAAGTAGCAAATATCAAGCCGATTTATTCATGGGGCAATTACGGCTATCATGGTGACACATCTCTTTACGGCTTCTTTGATTGTCTTGCCACTTCTTTACCACCTTTTAAGCGTTTGACACAACCCTTGTTCCTAGCTTGTTGCGGCGGAAGTTCGTTGACCTCTGAGGGAGCTGTTGCACCACAAAATTGCTGAATGATGGAACTCTTGCTTGTGACGTGTGCACTTTGATGTTGTGATGAGAGCAGAATACTCTTCTGTTCCTTAATTGCTTGTGCAAACTAATTAAACACAATCGGCTTATCCTCAATGATAGCAACACAACCATGAATGTCAGAACATAAATGATGAAAGTTATTCAATGAAAATAAAAAGCACAAACGAAACAAAAAAACGTAGAAATAAAGAAATACCACATAAACGATGAAAATTAACGATGAAACTTAGAAAATTAAAGATGGAACACAACATAATCGATCAAAATTAACGATGAAACATAAAAATGAAGCATATTCAAGAAAATTAAAAAAACAAAATGAAAAAATACATGCAACAAACAAAAGAAGGTAAAGAAAAATGAACCTTTATTCTTTAATGGAGCTTCAGAATTTTTGGGGAGGAAGAGATGGTTAGAAGTCGAGCAACTGGAATTCACGTACATGAAATGGCATCTGTAACCGAAAAGGTAAGGAATAAAACTTAATTTATTGACAAAATATCATGGAAAGAAATATAGAAGGAAAGATACATACGTTCAAAAGGGAAGAAATGTTGGAATGACCATCTTGGCCTGCAAACCCACACTGAGAATATGAGAAAATCAATTGATCTAATGGCCAGGATTATTTCTTATTTATCACATTAGATGGTGTTCTTATTTGAACCAAAACTCCTTATATATATATATATATATATATATATATATATATATATATATATATATATATATATATATATATATATATTACTACCCATACAAACTCAAAATAAAAGTGATGCATATAATTATTGTTACGTGCGTAATAGTTATTAATATAGTATTTATTACATAAACATATTATGTATATCTCATCGTATTATCTGCACAAACCGGCCATTAACTAATTACTTTTGATTTAATTATGGTGTAGTTCATCCATGGCTAATATTAACAAAAGAGAGTTCGACGTCCTTGATTTATCTGGTCAAAAGTATTTGGAATGGAAAGTCGACGCTTTAGCACATTTAAAAGCAAATGCCCTTGAAAACACAATTGGTGAAAATAATTCAGCCACTCCCCAAAATAAGGCAAAAGCCATTATCTTTCTTCGTCACCATCTTCACGAAAGTTTGAAGTCTGAGTATTTATTGGTAGATGACCCTAAAGAATTATAGGATAATCTCCAAGAAAGGTATGACCATCAACAAAAGTCCTCTTACCGAAAGCTCAATATGACTTGATCAATTTACGATTCCAGAATTACAAATCTATCAGTGACTACAATTCTGCCTGACGAAATCTTCAGAAAAGGCCAAAGTCATTTGTTTTAAATGTGGCACGTCGGGACATTGGGCGAATTAGTGTCGTACTCCTAGACATTTGGTTGACTTATATAAATCATCTCTAAAAGGAAAGAATGTGGAAACTAATTACGTCAACGAAAATGTTCCACCAATACCCACATTTAATGTGTCTGATTTCTATATGGACGATAATGAGATGAACACTGACATCTTCATGGGTGAAAAAAATTGAAATTATCCTGTTGTGTAATATATTCTACAATAAAAGTTTGTTGTATTGTAATTTTTATTTGGTGTGCTTTTTTCGATTGTAAAAGTTATGTACATTTTAATGAATAAAGTCTTGTTTATATTACAATATTGAACTAATATTTGTGCATTTTTATCTTTTTAAAGATATGGAGTTAACTGAAATTTCTCCAAATGGCTTTGAACAATGTTTAATAGACAGTGCCACAACGCACACCATTTTGAGACATAGAGATTATTTTTCTCATATGACATTAGTTGATGCTAATATCAATACAATCTCAGGTGGTGCTAAACTCATTGAAGGTTCTGTAATAGCATGTGTGATTGTCCCAAAAGGGACAAAATTAATAATTAAAGACGCTTTATACTCCAGTAAATCACGGAGAAATCTTTTGAGTTTCAAAGATATGCGCCTAAATGGTTTTCACATTGAAACCATGTCTGAAAATCAAAAGGAATATTTATGTCTAACGACAAATAGATCTGGCAATAAATACATTTCAGAAAAAATGTCAGCATATTCCTCTGGACTATATTATATATATATCGGTCCAATTGAGATAGATGTGGTATCTAAAATTAATGACCACAATTCCTTTATCTTGTGGCATGACCGTTTAGGTCATCCAGGCAGCACTATGATGCACAAAATTATTCAAAATTCACTTGGACATTCATTAAATAATGTCAAATTCCACAATCAAGTGATTTCTCGTGCACTGCTTGTTCTCTTGGCAAATTAATTATCAGGTCATCTTTAAACAAAATTGGAGTTGAATCTCCTACATTTTTAGAAAGAATTCAAGGAGATATTTATGAGCCAATTGCTCCTCCGTGTTGAATCTTTTGATACTTTATGTTGTTCATTGATGCATCAACACGTTGGTCACACGTCAGTCTTTTATCGACTAGAAATTTTGCATTAACAAATCTCCTTGCTCAAATTATTCGTTTGAGATCACAATTTCCGAATTATTCAATAAAGAAAATCCAACTTGATAATGCAGGGGAATTTACATCCCAATCTTTTAATGACTATTACATGTCAATTGGGATTGATGTGGAACATCCAGTTCCACATGTGCATACACAAAATGGTCTGACTGAATCCTTAATTAAGCGATTACAATTAATTGCTAGACCATTATTGATGAAGTCTAGATTGCCATCATCTGCATGGGGATATGCTATAATGCATGCTGCATATTTAATTCGGCTTAGGCCAACTGCATATCATAAATTTTCCCCATTGCAATTAATATCTTGTAAAGAACCAAATATATCACAGATAAAAAAAATTGGTTGTTCTGTGTATGTACCAATTGCTCCACCTTATCGTACTAAAATGGGTCCTCAAAAAGGCTAGGAATTTATGTTGGTTTTAAATCTTCCTCAATTATTAATTATCTAGAACCTATGACTGGTGACTTATTCACCGCACGCTTCAATGACTATCAATTTGATGAGACGGTATTCCCAGCCTTAGGGGGGGATAATAGAGAAATGGACCCACATGCGAAAGATATTACTTGGAATGCAACAAATTTAACTTTTCTCGATTCTCGCACAAATGCTTGTGAACTAGAAATTCAAAAGATCATTCATTTACACAATGTTGCAAACCAATTGCCTGATGCTTTCACAGACTCGAAGAAAGTGACAAAATCACATATTCCAGCTATGAATGCTCCTTCTTGAATAGAAATTCCTGTGGAGATTAGCGAAAGAACTCTTGCTAATGAATCTATGATACGTAAAAAACGTCGTAGACCAATTGGTTCAAGAGATTTAAAACCAAGAAAATTTTAATAGCAAGATGTGGTTTGTGATGCCAAAGAAGTTCAACCTTCTCAAGAAGAAAATGAACATTTTGAAAATATCGGCTTTGAAGATAACATCAATAATAATGATACCTCAAAAGAGGATCCAATCACCTTTGAAGAGGTAAATATTCCAGATAAAGAGAGAAACGTTGATAATTTTGAAATTTCAATCAATTATGTTTCTAATGGAATACAATGGAATAGAAAAGATATTGATGTTAATGATATATTTTCTTATGTCATCGCCACAGATATAATGAATGAACACGATGACAATGAGCCTAAATCTATTGACGAATGTCGTCGTAGAAATGATTGGCCAAAATGGAATGAAGCAATTCAGGTAGAATTAAAATCACTAGAAAAGCATAATATTTTTGGACCAATTGTCCACATGCCAAAAGGC